CAACGGAGTTTCAATATAATGTAATTTGAAAGGCTATTTAGTGTAATTTATCTACCGTTCTGAGTTTGGAGGATGTTTTTACAGTGGAGAGAGCGTTTACCTATAATCTACGACACCCGTTTTATAATTTGCACAATCCCAATATTCATCTAAAACAAATTATTAAAAGAAACTGCATTGACTTCCACATTAGAAGACTCTGGTGCCCAAACGGGAGCATCTCGAGGACAGCTGCTCATCACATCACACTAGAGCAGCAGGTTTTTTTTTCACTTGTCCCAAAATGACTATGTGACACTGCCGAATTAAGGCACGTATCACAGATTAAGAAAATAAAACTGGAGAACGAAGCAGTGGGCGTACGCTGGTGGCGGTGAAAACGGGGATTGAAGATTAAAGACGGCTCAGTTAAAGATACACAAATCGCTCCTAATACAACTTTGGGTGAGTAAATGGTGAAGAGAAACAACCATAGGTGGAGTTTGCGGGGGTCAGGAGGTCACTGTCCTCTCTAGAGACTGAAATATGTCACAACATTGAGTCTATAATATGGACAATACCAATATTTAATTTAAAAATGTATTAATGTTTTAAATATGTCAATAAAACAAAAGGGTTGTATGAAATAAATCCTAGTCTGAACCAGGACTGAACCAGGACTAAACCAGGACTGAACCAGGTCTAAATCAGCCCACTACTACTGATCATGTGTGCTGTGTAGTTTGGCTTTTTGAGAGGCCTATGAACACTACTGTTGTATGTGCAATAACATTAGAACTATTCTGTGTCATGTCACAAAATAGTTATAATTCACAGCAGTGTGGACAGTAAAGCTTTAATTTCATTGTACAGGGCAAAGCATTTCCTTCCTGTGCACATGACAATACACACTTTAATACATGAATCTAGTGCCCTGATGTTAAAATGTTTGCCCCAGCGCAAAAGTCAAACTTCACTTATGGAAACGACTATAAAACGCTTAAAAATCCAGAAAGTTGAATTTGCATTGTAGGTCTGCTCTAACTCTCAAATCTGATTGATACATATTTACCCATAGTGACCCAGGCCCGCAATTTATCGTATTGTTTAAGCAAATGTACTTCTTTGGACATTTTGCACGACTGTCAGAAACCTGCCAGATTTCCATGGTAATGATTGTTTTTGACGTCCAATCCTAAGCTCTATAATACTTGTTCCATCTGAGAAGACATCGGACCAAAAAGTTACAAAAATATGAAGTAAAGCAGAGCAGTGGAAGGCTTCAGTGGATGTGATCAGACTGTAGGAGAAATATAAGTGGAGCAGGGCACTCAGCTGGAACGGACAATCTACCTCTAGATTGTTGAGCAGGCTCAGATGATAGGAAAATATTGATTGTAAACATTGTCGGGGCTGTAACATCAGGCAGCAGGAGGCCTCTCTCCTTCAGTGGGTGCTAAATTGACATGGGAAGTCCACAGGAAGGTTTGATTGAGACAACGGGAAAGGCACAGCACTAGATCCATACAATATTGTATTGTGTGGAAGGCAATTCAAGACAGATTGTAATATTTGATGGCACCAGACATCAAAGATGACAATCTCAGTGCAAAAAGATGAACTGAGGAAATGGTCAGTGAGTAAAGAGCATTATAATGTTGACCATGGACTTGAACAGGGAAAAAATGTTAAATATTTCACATTTAGACCAGGGATCTCAAACCAGTAGCTCTCCACCCCCTTTCAAGTAGCTCGCCAAAGGATTTCTGAATTATATATTGTGCTAAATAACTAAAATTTGATTAATTACTTACTAAATCATGTCATTTTGATTCCTAACTTCTATAGTAATAAATGAATAATGGTTAATGTACCCTGTCTAAAGCTTGCCATAGCTCTTCTACTTTTTCAATTTCTTTAAAATGAGTAGCTCTCTGGCATTTTCATTTCATAAAGGTAACTCACTATGGGAAAAAGGTTGGAGATGCCTGATTTAGACAGATTTTTTTCTTACAAACTAATACAACTGATGTAAGTCTGGGAAGAATATATATATATATATATAAAAACTTGCGCATGAAAATGTGTGTATGAATTGTACTATACAAACTTGTCTTTCTTTGCCAACCAAGGAAACAAAATTATAAGAATACAATTATTGTGTTAAATGTAAAACTGTTTAGGATTAGATGAATCTATATCACTGACAACTGATTACTTGCTTGTTTTAAAAGCTGCTTGGTTAGTGACAATGTGACTTTTGCAAACTAGTAGGGGTGTAACAATATCCAAGCCTCACGATACGATATCGTCACGTTATGAACCTCACGGTACGATATTTATTGTGATATCGCAGGAATGCTCACGATATGATGGGGAGGCTCACAATTAGGGATGTAACAATATCCAAATCTCTCTGTACGATAGTTTCACGATATACATCTCACGTTATGATATTTATTGCGATATTTTGTTTAGGCTAAACTGCTGAAACTGTTAATATGCTACTTTTTCCTCTTAAAATGCCTTGACAAGACTCAATCCAAAGAACTAAGACTTAAAAGTGCTTAGAACTGTTATTTCTTGTAGTCTGCACTGAAATGGAGCAAAGGATCATGGTCTATGTAGTTCCCTCTGTTTTTTAACTATTGCTGCACCATAACTCTCAATTTAAGCAAAGAGACATGTGATTTGATATATTGTGATGGTCCACGATGTTACTGTGAGAACTTTGACGATACGATATCACGATATTTCGGTTATTGTTGCATCCCTACAAACTCGCTGTCTGTTTTTGGCCAGATGCTCTGCCTTTTGAAACCATCTTCAGTAGTTATTGGGATGAAGTTAGGTTAAATATCTTGACCATGACGATATCCTACACTGTGTTCAGAAGACGACTGCTTTTATTGCGACCCAAAGAGCTCGAAAGCCCTGACGTACAAATTCGCTCTCAAACATCCGCTCCCCCGTCCCCTCTCAAATACTAATAAACATGCTTCGTTTTCAGTCCTGTTCAAAAACGTAGTGTAACTATTGATAAAAGCAAATAGCTCAAAGGCTCTGCTGTATGAATTCTACGTGTCTTCCCGTTTTTTCCCCCCTGAGTCTCCACGCTTGTATGTTATTGGTTAATTTGGGTCGGCGTCGCGATCCACCATCCAAATGATCTCCTCTGGATTGCCCGCTGAAAAATGGCAGAGCGCCTATTTGCCGTGAACAAGGGAAGCCATTATTGTTTCCTGCCAGAAGCTCTCACTGCCAAAAACGCTGCGGAGTACGTGAAGCGAGGTACAAAGATCCAATTAAAAAGCGATGGGTAATTATGCGAGGCTATCATATTTCAGCCTCGGCCATAAGGAGCTATGTGAACAGAGGAGCCTGTCAATATTTCTGCCCCGCACACTCAGCATCTGCACATTGTTTACACATTGTAAATCGATACACCTAATGCTGCTTGAAGAGTCTAATTAAAATGTTAAAATGTTTAATGCCTGGGACTGCCGTGGGATCAAGTGTGGAACGTATAACAAGTCTTATTTAGAGCTAATTAAGTTGTACTTTGAAGGATGAACATGCAATCAGTTTTTTTCTATTAGCGTTTTGATCTTGGCAAAGCCCTGTAAAGTGTTTGGTAATTGTTTGTTTCCCCAGGCTTAATCCGCAGACTAATGCATTCACTTATAACATTAGCTATAGAACTTTAAAGTGCTTATGACAGGTTTCTATGTTTTTAGTTCGGATTTCTTCTTTCTGTTTCAAAGTAGTCTGCAGATAGGACAGAAATTGATGTATTTCCATAACAGTGGTGGAATGTAACAAAAGTAAATGTGGTAAAGTAAAAATTATGTAAATTAAGTAAAAAAAAAAAAAAAAAAAAAGGTGTATTTCAAGTGCATGTATTTCTCTTCATTTGAGAGAAGGTATCTTACTTTTCATTCCTGTTAAACTACAAAGTATTTTTTTGTTTTATTGTGTGAGTCCTGCTGCAAAGGCTGAGTGGTTTATATTAACACATTTGTACTTTGAGCAAAAATATACAAATTAAAAAGTTCTATTGACCAAAATTCAGCACAAATCTGTATCAAAATCAATACATTTGAAGTGTTATAAAAACATAAAATCTATGTGAAATACTTTTTAATTAGGTACATTTTCTAAAAAGTACTTTAATACTTTAATTTGAGTAGATCTTTTCATGTGATACTTTTACTGGAGTATTTTTTTTGCTCCAGTACATGTATTTTTACTTAAGTAACTAAATTGACTACTTCTGACTCCATTGTTGTTTATTTTATTTTGCTAAATGAGGGTTTAAACCACACATGTCAAACTCAGGCTCGGGGGCCAAATTTGGCCCACGATATAATTATATTTGGCCCACGAGATCATATCAAACATGTATTAGAGCTGACCCGCCGGTTACAGATAGACTATAGAGACATTATTTATTTAATATTGTGTTATTATTTTATATTATACTTGTTCTGGATTCAATGTTTAAGCAAAACTATTATTAAACATTTATTTTAATTAGAAAAGGTTTGTACCATGCCTTTTAATTTTGGCCCTCTGTGAATTTGAGTTTGACACCCCTGATTTAAACTGTCGGAAAAATGTGTTACTTGCATGTAAATTGTCCCAGCATTTTGAAGAACAGCTTACCGAATTTTTTTTTTTTTATATTCTAATGAAAATATTCCCACCTTCTTAGTCCTTTCTCTCACTCTAATGTGGAACCACGACAGAGAAACCACTGACTGGAATAGGCAGTTGTTTACACATGGTACTCATCCAGAAAAGTCACTCATTGGATAAAATGATCTTCCCCTGCTAGAGTTGCTTCTTTATGATCCTCATCCATGTCTTTTCCAGTCTGCAGTATCATCTCTTCGTCCCTCTTTTTTGCTCAGATTGTTTCTTTTAATAGACTGCAGGGAGCAAATGGCGTTTTCCTGAAATAGACGATACAAAAACACATGCCCTTTAAGCTAAGTGGTGTTTTGTGTTTTGTTTTTCAGAGCCATTACACTGGACAACACACTGGTCATCCTGTCGGCGGTGGCTCCAGACGCAGGACGGTACTATGTCCAAGCTGTAAACGACAAGAACGGAGAGAATAAGACCAGCCAGCCCATCACCCTGTCTGTGGAGAGTAAGTGAAACATGGGCTTTTACTACTCACTCTTAAAGCTGCACTGTGTAACTTTTAGGCTGGGAGTCTGTCACATGCCTGTTTCTATGGACATGTCATTGCCCTGCCTGGAATGTTCCACAGTATGACATTAAGCAGCTCTACCTTACATTTATTCAAGTACAGGTGGTTGTATAGCTCAAAAATACCAAGAAAAACAGGCATTGTGACTGTCAGCAGGGTCACCTCTCCACAGATCTGACCTGTAACTTTGTTTGATCTCTGGTTTGATCTCCATGAAGATAGAAAGGTTTAATACCATAGTGTGAAACATTCCAGACAAAGCAATAACATCTCCATGGAGAAAAGCATTTGACAGGCACCAGAAAAGTTAAACAATACACCTTTAAACTATGAAACAGCAAAAACAAACAAGAATACATTTGCTATTTAAAGAGATAGTCTGGAATTTTGGACATAGCACCTCATTTCCTGGTGAGCCAGAGTGTTGGAGACATGTGGAGACAGTTTTTTAAATATTCCATCCAGTCCTTGTATTTGCAGAGGTCGCTGGTGCTAGGCTAGTGCATGTCAATGGCCATAGTTATCCTGCCACTAAAAACAGTCTTACCCACTCCACAAAACACCAAAACAAATCTATTATTACACCAGACTGTCCATGTAAACGTCTGTTGATAGAATAATTTTAGAAGTATAATCAACGTTGCATTTGAAGGATTTATGTCTGAGCTGCAGCAGTGAGTTCCTGATAGAAAGCTTGGTAGTGGCGGACTGATATATGAGAAAATAGTCCCTCAACATGCGACGATTCATGCAATGCAAAGTTAGTTTTATTTCAAACATTATTATTATATCGACACAGACGTTTACATGGACAGTCTGGTGTAGTAATATATTAGTTTTGGGTGTTTTGTGGAGTGGGTAAGACTGTTTTTAGTGTCAGGCTAACTATGGCCATTGACATGCACTAGCCTAGCACCAGTGACCTCTGCAAATACAAGGACTGGACGGAATATTTTAAAAACTTTCTCCGCACATCTCCAACACTCTGGCTCACAAGGAAATGAGGTCCTATGTCCAAAATTCCAGACTGTCCCTTTAACATTGCCTGTATTAATCAGCGTTATCAAAAAGTGTACATTAGCTTCAGGTAACAGATATGTCCTGGATGTCTCCTTGAGGTTCCACTGTTCATAAAAGTTCTTCCATATCCTCCCTCAATCAATATTTTCCTTTGATCTCCAGCAGAGCCTTGAAATGATCCTGGATACATTTCTCTTTCCTATATAGACTAACCCAGACATGAGCGCTTCTGGATGAGCGCTACTACAAATCACATTTTGCTCTGTCACGCTGTTCCACGTTAGCGTAATACACTGATTAAACAATGGGTACATCCAGAGGAATCATTTGCATAAACTGAATATGTTTAAATATCCTCCTCGTTATAAATTTGCCCGTATTGATATAAAAGAATACCCACCGTTACATACGCGGATCTTCAAGGAATGCTTGAAGAGATGCAAGAATTAAGGGCTGCCCTCTATCTCTCCGCACACTCTTTATTTCTTCGTTTTACAGCAGTTGGATTCTCATCTCATTGGTCAAACTTGAGAGCTTCTTCTTATCATATTTGGGGAGACAGTAGTTTAGTTTGTAAGGTTTGTCCATTGACATGAAGGTTGGTGTTTAAAATCTCGCTCTCAGTGTACGATTCAAGCTCCTATAGCTGAATGCTGTTGTTGTATCCTTGGGCAAGACACTTAACCCACCTTGCCCCCAGCGTCTGTGTACACTGATGTACGAATGTGAATGTAAATGGATGAGAGGGTCCTTGATATAAAGCTTTTTGAGTTCCTTGAAAGTGGAAAAGCCCTGTATAAAATGTGACTATTTACCGAAGTGACCAACTTAACCTTGTCTGGAGTAAGATAAGAGTTCAGCTTCAGTTACCACCCAATAGAAAGTCATCCAACTACGTAGCACCGGTAAACAAGGTTAAAGTTACCTCATTAACTCTCTATTCCAGCTTCGTAGTACAGGCCTGAGATACAAGGTTTTCACTTGAACCAGGGCAGTCGATAGAAATTTGTGGGCCTTGAGGCAAGAAGACTCACATGGGCCCCCTCTAAGGTAAATAAATAGGATCAAGGTCCAGTTCTGGGCCCCTAAAACTCCTTTATCCCCCCCGTCTACTAGTCTGATTCATCAGCCGGTTTCACTTCGTGGAAACCGTCTGATTCATTCACTCAACGGTAGGCAGGTACTTTTTTATTTACCGTATTTTCCCGGGCTATTAGACGCACTCTTAAGCCTCTAACCGCATCAAAAAACGACCGCGCACCCCACAATCCAGAGCGCCCCATACATGAATCCACTCAGGTGTCCCAGCACGACTTCAGTAAACTACAAAGCCACACCACCCGCAGAACACACAAACACACACGGAGCAGACAGCGATCGCACAGTGAAAAACACCCACAGACACACTCATCACTCCACACGGACGAGGAACGGAACGGAGGAACGAAATGAAAAAGCGAGTGCAATGTGCCACTTCTAGACACAACTGAACAACTGAGTCACTACAAACAACCAACAATCCAGCGGTCCCAGACAGCACCCTCCCTACACGCCACAACTGAACAAAGCCCAGAGTCACCGTGAACGCCACAAACAAAGTCCCACTGACCCATCCAACTGTTGTGTTTCCTTTAAAATCCAGTGCGGTTTATTTGTGAAAAAAGTTCAAAAATAGACCATTTAATGACAGTGCGTCTTATAATCCGAGGACCTAATAGCCCGGAAAATACGGTAACCATTCTCTGCTATTTGTTCGTGACGTATGTAATGCGCCAAATCCTGTAGGAAGAAGGACAATAATATCTTTCCCCTTGATAAAATTCACCAAACATTCTCTTTGTTCCGGCTTTAAATCCTCAATCTCGGTAATTGTTTCCAACACAGAATGTCTGTCTTCATCTACATCCATCTCGACATTTTGTTTACTGTTGTGCTGTACCACAAAATGGACCCAAGACAGACGCTCGAGTTTGACGTCATGGCTTCACAACTTCCGGGGTTTTTGGAAATCGTCTAGTGTATTCCTGACCTAGCCGCTGGAGAGAAATGAAACTGAGCGGAGGCACTAGGTGGCGCCAGCCTGGCTACCTGTCTCTAATTTGAACTATGGTGGTGTTTATTTATTTGGCTAAAATGCTGGTATGATTGTTAGTAGATCTCAAATACAAGCTAAAAGTATAGACTGAGGAGTTAAGAGTGAAAACCCCTCACGCAGCAGGTAACTTTGACGTGTAGGTAGATGATGTACTATAGCTGTAAAGCCAAGCAAACATTTTATAGGCCATTTATCCAACATCAAATCCATAAAAGCACAAGAAGTTAGTTTAAATTGCTTGTTTATGTGCTGTTTTATTTCAAGAGTGCTTCCCAGTCTGGTCACCCACGCTACAGTAAACAGCTTTCACAATTAATTTTATAGCATCACAATGTTTTGTCATTGCTGTCAGGAACATATTATATTTCCTCACACTCTGAAAATAAACTCAAAATGTCTCGAGATGAAGAGGCGAGACTGGACTTTACGGTTGCCAAGTGGTTGTTAATATTCAGCACAGCCTCTTTAGCCTTGACAACAAAAGCAAAAAAGCAACATCGCAAATCAGACCAATTCTGGCTGGCGCGGGTTCAGTACTGAGAAATGCAAGGGGAGAGCGGACAGCGAGCATCTTATGACATGCAAGAGTGGAGATCTCTGAGTGAGGAGGAGGAGGAGGAGGAAGATGGGTGAAGATATTACAGCCGACAAGACAAAGGCTCATAAATAGCTTGGGGCACGCTGGAAGAACATTGGCTTAGCTGATTATGCTGGTAGTATTCAGGGGTGGCACACACGCTATACAGAGGAATTCAGGTTAGAATGTGGTACTCAGCAGGAGGCCCTACCCCCTACAGGTATCAGGTAATAATACTGTGAATTTGCATTACATTTACACTCAAAATCAACTGCACTGATATTGGCGCATAGTAGAAACTGAGGCTTAGTTTAAAACAGAGAAGTTATAGTCATAAACAGTCAAAGAACAGAAAAGGGCCATACCTGAGTAAGAATGTGTTTGTATGGTTTGAATTGACTGTAGAGTAAAATCCACATTCCTGTCAGTCTGTCCCAAGCATAGACTGTATAAAGAAGTGGACTAAGGGAGTGTGACATCACCCACAGTGTTCGGCTTCAGTCAAATGAAGCTCACTGTGGGCTGAATTTGTCGCCAAGCTTCATATTGAGCTTTTTCACAATGGTCGGAAGTGGCGCGATGTAGGGTAACGGTCACTTACGTTAATGCTTTTCTGTTTCAAAATATCTGTGGAAATGTCTCACATATTTTCCACCAGCTTCTTGAATCTTCCCCATCACCAAATCTTCATCCAACAAGGTCGATAAAAGAATTTATCCACAACTATCAAGGTAAGAAAGAGGAAAACGTAAAGGTGAACAACGACGACGCATTAGTGAACTACTCCTAAACAAAACTAACATTATGGACATGAATAAAACATCAGTAACTTGTGAACTCAGACTGATTCTACAATTAAAATTAAAAATCGATTTCATGATGTACATATTGGCATAGACAGAGTGATTTGTGCAGTTTGAATGCTTCAATGCTTCAAATTTCTAGCATTTAAACTGCACAAATCTCTCTGTTTTTTATTTTTATTTTTCAAGTTACTTCAGTTTTATTCATGACCATAATGTTAGTTTTGCTCAGGAGTTGTTCACTAATGCCAGTCATTGTTCACCTGTACATTTTCCTACCTTGATTTCCTTACCTTGACAGTTGTGGATAAATTCTTCATGGACAGAATACGTCCTTTGTGGACCTTGTTGGATGAAGATTTGGTGATAGGGAACATTTATGAAGCTGCTGGAAAATACGTGAGACATTTCCACAGATATTTTGACATAGAAAAGCATTGAT